TGAAGGGTGCTTTAAAGGCCTAGAAAAAGCTGCCCGCAGCTTTGCAAAAACGTACTGAATGTTTCAAAAAACCTTGGTGTTCATATTGCTCTTATACAAGCTGAAGCCCATGTGAAACAGGCCATAGACTTCAGTGGGGGTTCGACACTTAGTTCAGTGTTTGCATACATGTCGGGTTCGTCAATTTTCCTGCAAAACAAACTTGTGCAGATTTTCTCATTCCTAACGTGGGAGGATTTGGGTTGCCACAATTCTGTTACTACTTTTTAGCCCCCTACTCATGATTCTTCATGATTACTTAATTACTTAGTAGTGTAAAGATCTGCTGCCTCTACTGTCTGAATTTGTAAATGCCTGTAAATATATTATGCACTTCTTGTCCCTGGTTTGTTGGCTTTGAAACCCTGCATGGAGGAAGAGGAGAGAGAGAGCAAGAGAGAGTAGGTCTCAGCAACGCACCCTGTCCTTACTGATAAACCCTATAATGCATTTTCCTATCATCTAAAAATGTAGCTGCAGCTACTAAGTGTATATGTAGATCCTTGTGACAGACGGAGTATCTCTGCCCTGTCCTTATCTTATTTCACATGCCCAGTACCAGATATCTAGGTCTGTGATACTATATGTGTAGTGGTCACATTCCAGTATATACGGGTAGGTGAACCTATTTATTGCAATATAGATTATATGCAGCTCCTGTTATTCTAATTAACCCTGTCCCTTCTGGTCTGTCTGAGATTCTAAAGCTAGTTTTAACTTAGCTCCTGATAACCAGCATAGGCTAGATTCAGGATAGGCAGCCATTGGCCACTTCGGGAATCATTGACTTACAGGTCTGGTTGCATGGTTGGACAACAATTGGAGGATCTCCCCATGACTGCAGATCTTATCTTCAGGTCTCTGGCACAAAGACAGACACTGCACTATCCTAGGTGCCCGATGCAACTGAACGTTTCTGCAATATTCATCTTGAGGTTTCTCTATTATCAACTATATATACGCAGGTATATGTGCATCATTCCACCAGGACTCCTATTGGGCCCTTTGCTGGTAATACTTGTTTGTACATTGGATGTATGTACTATTATTAATCTTTTCTTATGTATCTGGGTGCCCTGCCGGCTTCATGCCACTCTCTGTCATTCCTCACCACCATGCAGCCAACAGCAGGAGCAGTCTGAGTATTTCTGTGCCTGTTCTTCCCCCCCCCCCCCCTTCCTGCTGGTGTGTGTCTGAAGAGGCGATGCTGTAACAAGGGGAGGTGCAGCTACGGGCTCTATGTGAAGATCCCCCACTCACTCCCTGCTCCTCCTCTCTCTTGGCAATAGTAACTTCAGCCAATCAGCAGCAGGGAAGTGGCCACATGGTACCCTAGTAGTTGTAGTTTTTGGATGATGCTCTCTCTGCTGCATCAGTGAATGAAAGCTGCAGATCACATTACACAGACAATCCTGTATCAGAGTAGGATTGAGGACTTATCCTGGGCAAATTAGAAAGAACATGAGAGAGCAGTGTGGAAAAGACCTTCTGCAGCACTCAGCATTCACATCAGAGGGCAAGAAGAGAGAGATAGAGACTGAGCCACTGCAAAGCCTTCTACGAGGTCATCCATGCTGTGCTGAGTATCGGAGTCGCCCCAGGCAACCCAGAGTGACTTATTACTCCATTAACAGGGGCGGACTGACCATTTGGAAACTCGGGCACTGCCCAAGGTCAGTAGGGGGCCCCCTGAGATGCCCCTGGTACCTTTTTCATAGGCTTTTTTTAGTTTGGGCAAGGACACAGGGGCCCCATGATCCCCTATTACCAGGGGGGCCCCATGAGTTGTCAGTCCGCCCCTGTCCATTAATAAAAATAAAATGCATAAAACATAACAAAGTCCATATAAAGTCAATAAACTGTGCAAAAATAGCTTTGCACTTCCACCAGGTAACTTTCACAGTTCATGCATTTGAGATTCCTCTCTCCTCAGGATGAAACTCACCAAAGCAAGGTGCCACCCATTCTCATGACTGGCACAAATGCTTTGTGTATATAAGCACAGACCACTGGTCAGAACACCACTAGATTACTCCTCCATCTGACTTGCATGTCACCACATAAGGAAGAAAAATAAACAGCCTCTGATACTGTAGTAAAACCATCCACATTTGTATTTAATAAAAAGCCACTCACAAAGTTGGCGTTTATCACATCATGAAAATGGTGTCAGGCAATACTGTATGATGGTCACATCAATCTCTGACCACCTTTGGAAGCCTCCGGTACCTCTGCCACGTCACTTCCAGTCTGGCTCTGACGTCCCATAGGGTTGCCATGTAGTCACACCTAATGCATTTTGTCCTTCCAACTTCATCATAGGGAATGGCTACAAATCTTGACAACCAGACCTGTATACCCTCCTTCTACTCAGCATTAACTCTTTCCACTACTCTGCGTGAGACAGCAGCCCGCAGGACAGAGGATAAACTAATTAAAATCTGTACTGTACTGTCACAATATGCTTACACAGGACATAGGATATACCAGGGTTCGCACTTTTTAGTTAATTGTTCTTGGCAGTACAATGAATGTTATGTGTGTATTTTTATGTGAGCTCAGGTTCTGCATGAGCTACACTATATTGCCAAAAGTATTGGGACACCCCTCCAAATCATTGGATTCAGATGTTCTAATCACCTCCATGGCCACAGGTGTAAAAATTAAGCACCTAGGCATGCAGACTGCTTCTACGAATATTTGTCAAAGAATGGGTGACTCTCAGGAGCTCAGTGAATTCAAGCGTGGTATTGTAATAAGTCCATCTGCAAAATTTCCTTGCTACAAATATTGCACGGTCAACTGTTAGTGGTATTATGACATAGTGGAATCAACTGGGAACAATAGCAACTCAGCCACAAAGTGGTAGGCCACGTAAAATGATACAGCGAGATCAGCGCATGCAAGTCACCAACTGTCTGCAGAGTCAACAGCTAAAGACCTCCAAACTTCGTGTGACCTTCAGATTAACAGAACAACAGTACATAGAGAGTTTTATGGAATGGGTTTCCATGGTCAAGCAGCTGCATCCAAGCCTTACATCATCAAGTGCAATGCAAAGCGCTGGATGCAGTGGTGTAAAGCAAGCCCCCACTGGACTCTAGAGCAGTGGATACGTGGCCTCTGGAGTGACGAATCTCGCTTCTCTGTCTGGCAATCTGATGGACAGGTCTGGGTTTGGCAGTTGCCAGGAGAACGGTACTTGCCTGACTGTATTGTGCCAAGTGTAAACTTTGGTGGAGGGAAGATTATGGTGTGGGGTTGTTTTTCAGGGGTTGGGCTTGGCCCCTTAGTTCCAGTGAAGGGAACTCTTAAGGTATCAATGTACCAAGATATTTTGGATAATTTCATGCTCCCAACTTTGTGGGAACAGTTTGGGGATGGTCCTTTCCGGTTATAACATGAGTGCACACCAGTGCACAAAGCAAGGTCCATAAAGACATGGATGAGTGAGTTTGGGGTGGAGGAACTTGACTGGCCTGCACAGAGTCCTGACCTGAACCCAATAGCACACCTTTAGGATGATTTAGAACGGAGACTGCGAGCCAGTCCTCATCCGACATCAGTACCTGACCTCACAAATGCGCTTCTGGAAGAATGGTCAAACATTCCCATAGACATACTCCTAATCCTTGTGGACAGCCTTCCCAGAAGAGCTGAAGCTGTTATGGCTGCAAAGGGTGGGCCAACTCAATATTGAACCCTATGGACTAAGACAGGGATACCAATAAAGTTCATGTGCGTGCAAAGGCAGGTGTCCCAATACTTTTGGCAATATAGTGTATCTCACATTGTAACAGTTTTGAAGAAATGAGAAAGTTTTCCCAAAGATGTATGTTATATTGTTTTATGGTAATATTGGTTTTCTCACTTACTTGTACACTAAGCTAGTACTGTGAAAGTGTATGTTTGCTACTGTATATCATGCTCTGCTTGGAGTTTTCTATTGTTTTCCTTTTTGTTTTTTTGTACATTTGAAAAAGTAGAATAAAAATTATTTGGAAAAAAAATCTGCACTGCCAACCTGTCCACCTGCGTATTTAACCCTCATTTAGCCAAATCAACCACATCAATTAGACCCCTACATCACTAACAATATCACCAGGCAAGAATTAACTCCTTTACCATCACCTGGTATCACAGAGGCCAGCAGGATAAATAATAGATCTGAACTAAACTAATATAAAAAAAATATATGTCAAAACATTTTTAAAAAATTTGCTTTAAAAAAATTTTAAACTCAAAAGACTATCTATCACCATACAAAAGAACATAGGTTCCCACAAGCAGATCCCTCCTAACCCTCCTATATAAAAATTGTATTGCAACTATACACTTCCCCTATTTCTTTATTTCCTTATTGCTCAAACTGCTGGCACTATATAAATCCTGTATAATATAAAAAACAAAAGGAGGGAATCTCAAAGAAAAAACAAATTATGCAGGAATTAGTACCTATTAAGAAATATAGTGAGAATTTTAGAAAATGAACTGCTATTAACTGGTCTAGTTCATTTAATTGAACAGGGTTATCAAAACTTGCATTCAGGGTATCTAGTTAGCAAATCTGAAGTCACATATTTCAGGAGACCTAAACCAGCACTAGCTGATGACAACACCAGGAAAAAGTTAAACAGTGGCTTTTCTGCATCCTTGACCAACAGAACATCTTCTACTTCCTCTAGCTAAGTGCAGCACAGAAGTCACAGGGCATCACTTTTTATCCAAATTCTAGAAAGATTACTCATATAATTTTACCAGGTTAGCCACATAACCAGTAGGGGATACTGAGGCAATGACAGTAAAAGCAAGGTCCACAAAAGAAAACACAGGAGGAGGAAGAAGACAGATGGAGAAATGCAGCACAAGTAGATCTATAACTATACAAACAAGAGAAACAAATTTAACTCTAGATAGGAGGAAAAAAATATAAATATGGAAGTCCAGAATTGTTAAGTCACCTGTCTTTTGTTCAGCCATATAGTGGTTAGGTTTAGCCCATCCTTACGAAGAGCTTGACTAGATGTACTGGTTGGGTATTCCGGATCAGGTATTCCTGCAGCACTCATGTATGCTCTCCCTCCTCCCAGAATCACCTACAGGAAATGAACATTATAAATTAAAAATAAATGTCTAAAGTACTTTTAAAAAGAAAACCTATTAGTTTACATGGATGGACTGGTGTCTCTACTCAACCTTACCAACTATGTAACATCAGCCCCATCAACATGAAGGATAGCTTTCTCTCATATTTGTGAATGTAAAATATTTCTTAAGTGATCACCAATGCTACTAAAGTGTCTATGTCTTTTGTTAAAAAAGCAGGTCTAATCACTGTGTTTCATCAAACCCCATTTGTCCTCTGTAATTACATTTATATCCGTGTTGTGCACCAGTTGGTATGCAATATCCTTACAGCCACTGTTAGCCATATTTTGAGTCATTTCGTTGTCTGAGTACCAGTCTCTATCGACAATGTGAGCATAGGCTGCAGCTGGAGAAGCATGTTGGACACGAGTGGTTGTCACAATACCCACTGATTTACCTGGAAAAAGAAGACAGTAGGAAACACATGAATGACCATATGTTACACTAAATGGGTGTCACTGTGCACACTGAGTGTGTTGGTGGTGTCAGTAGGAGAAAAAATCTGGGGGGGTGGAGAGTTATGGCGTTCTAACATCTCTCCTCCATCTGGGCCTTGGTAAGTGGGTGGGCTCTGCTAACTTACTTTTCAGATCTCCTACCAGAGTGGGCACCTATCTGGGAGTGAAGTCAAACTTTATCCTATTCCTATCTACTTAGTGCTTACCATGTGATATGTCACAAGACAAGGGGATGTATGTAAGAAGAAAGGCAGTCTTGTCTTTACCCTTTGTGCTGACAGGAGGTCTGCTTGCAATTATATGCAGGTAGTCTCAGGTGGATCAAACTTCTCTCATACTGCCTATGCCAGCCTATGTTGAGAGTCTTTTCTGCAGTAGGCACATGGCATTTTAAAGGAGCAAGAAAAGTGTCATAACTGCTTTATTGAATTTTACAAATGCAACTATACAGTGTTTAAAGTCCGATTTATATCAAACATAATTTTTTGTAAGGTTTAGCAAAGGTTGATCAAATGCAAAAGTGTGACATATGAGCCTCCATACCATGCTTAAATCAGATTTCATGTCCAAAAATAATGATGATCTTTGTGTAGCACCCTGCTATAATGCAAGCTGCAAGATGTTAAGAGGAACACAAGATGGCAGTGTCCTGCAATTCAGTGGCACTCACACTCTGTAGAGCAGTCCCATGGACTTTGTAAGCTGAACCGCAGGACTTTGCTCTAGATAGGAGCACCGTATTAGGGGACTACATTTCCCAGAGGAGCGCGTGGGCGAGGGCATTTATAAACAGAAGCCAGGAAGACAAGACAGGAAGTGAGAGGGGAGAGAGTAGAAGTAGAGACAGAGTTGTGCTGACTGCCGAAGAACCAGACCAGGCCACAGAGCTAAAAAGAAGGAAGGCAAGGAGACGCAGCTGACCGCTAGCCTTCCCACCCTGTTCAGTGAGATAGTTTGCCAGCAGGTGATCCGGAGCACAGTGACTGGATTGATAGCTGCAAGTGAGACTGGAGAAACTGTGGGGGCCCCATCTGATGAGAGAGAGAGATACAGCCAAGGCCTGCTGGAAGCCGCTGATTGGGTTAGAGAGTCCCATACACCAGCCAAACAAGTGAACACTGACATGCTTCTCATATTTGCCACTTTCTTACACACAGTTGTGAACATTGCATATAGTTAACAACGGGTGTGGCCTAGTTCCCTAGTTCCCCTGGCCTCTACTTTTGAACACATTTTCAGCACAGTCCAATCATCAGAGCTGACCACAGCACGTCTTCTGCAGGCCAAATCACATCAGTGCTCCCTTAGCCATTGGTCTACATTCTTAAAAGAACCTCCACCACCATTGCCACTGGTTGCTGTAGCACAAAGTGGAGTTGCCCTTTCTTGCTAGCAACTTCTGACATCTTTCTGCTCAAAATTTGTAACCTGATCAGTACATTAAAGTGACACTACCCAAGTCAAGTGCCACCTGAAGGGATAGAACTAGTTCTTCCTTCCCTTGCATTAATCATAAATCACTTCTATTTCTCTTCCTACATGTGCACCAACTGGGCCCCAATGAGTGTGCAGAAGATTCCTCACTGCCCTTAAAGGGACATTGACTACCTTAGTTAAAGAGCCCTTTCCTATCTTGGATGTAAACCTTGCCACCAGATTTTGAGGGCCCAAAGTGAACTAGTTCAACCTTTGGTAGTTTTCCTTGCTCACTGGGGAATAGAAACACCTCAAATTGGAGGTATTGGGTTAACTTCTGAAAAGCAGGCCTGCGACCATTGAATGAGATTCTGCTGTATGTGTTGTTCCTTTGCTTAAAGTTGCTAATAATGACAATTGCTAATATACACACCTATACTACTTTGTGTTTTTTAACCAAGCTTACATTGAAGTTTAATATACACATCACATCAGTTTACTCCAGTCTGTGTGTAAGTCTACTTTCTGGTGGTAATTAACACTGGTTATAAGAGTACTGTGGAGTCAGCAGGGGTTGGGCTTTTAGAAGGGAGTTCAGAATGATTGGGAGCCTGAAAATAACTGAGCGACTCCTAAGGGGGTAGTGCTACATTTGCAATTCTTAGCAGTCAGTCCACCCAAACAGCAATATCCATGTAATCTCCATACCATATTTTCCAATTCTGTGCATGCCCACATTTGTTTGGATCTAACAGGGAACAAAACTAACAGGGAAAAAATGTAAACATGAATTTTGGGTGGTCTGACCCTTTAAGCATGGTTTCAAAAGTTTATTTTCTGTAGAGTTTATATAACAGATTTGCATAGTAGCCACTCACCTGCTTGCTTTGCTCTATGAAGAATGGATGACACTTCATTTCCATTGGCACTAGTGCAGACTCCATGCTGTGCAGCTGCACTCACACCCAGCATCCCAGAATTAGTCTTTACCCCACACAAATAGGCTGTTCCTGTACCTGCACTGTCTGGAACCTGTGCATCTACATTGTACACCTACAATGACAAAAAGAAAAAAACAACAGTCATTGGTTTGAATGAATATGATTTTATGATAATCTTGTTGTATAGGTGTACCTAGGTTCGCACCCTGGCAATTTAAGGGGGTGTGTGACACTGCATGACTGAGAAAATACTATATAGACCTTCAGTTTCTGTCTCCTGCTGAGGGAGAATGAAGTTATATAATGTAGCCCACCCACTGCAAATAGATAATGAGCAGAGAGCAAACACACTGCTTGGAAGTATGGTCTCCAGGAGGGACTAAACCCAGACAGTGAAAGGGAAAAGTGTACTATAACTCACAGTCTGCCAATGGGGATTAGGATGGAGGAGAGAAAAAAAGAGACATTTGGAGTAAGAGGGAAGGATTTGGGTTTCTAGAGCACTGGGCTGAAGCAAATTTTTCGAGGATGAGAGCTGCTCTCCAAGACTTGGATTGGGAGGGAATATTTGCATCGAAGAACACAGAACAGAAATGGGAATTCTTCAAAAGGACTGCATGTGAACACACTGCAAAATATATTCCCATGGGCAATAAGTATAAAAGGCTAAAAATTAAAACCTATGTGGCTCACGACCAAAGTTAAGAAAACTATAAAATAATAAGAAAGGAGCTTTTAAAAAATATAAAAATACAAAATAATCTAGAGTGGATGACTGGGGACAAAGAGAAAGCAAATGTATTAAATACCTTCTTCAGTCTGTGTATACAAAGGAGCATGGGGGAGCTCATGTCCACTTTGGCAAAGATATTGACACAGCTACAAAGGATCCACAATAGCTCAAAATTGATATGGTCCAGAAATATTTAAACAGAATAAAAATGAATAAAGCACCTGGACCGGATGGCATACACCCTCGGGTCCTAAAAGAATTGAGCTCTGTCATTTCTAAGCCATTGTTTCTAATATTTAGAGACTCTTTAATGATTGGCATAGTACCACTGGACTGGTGTAAGGCCAAAGTACTGCCTATATTTAAAAAGGGATCAAAGTCTTTACCAAGAAACTACAGACCTGTTAGTTTAACTTCCATAATCAAAAAGATACTGGTGAGTTTAATAAAATACCACATAGATAAGTTCTTGCTGGAAAAATATATTTTAAGTAACAGATAGCATGGATTCATGAAAGACAGAAGTCAAACAATTCTGATTTCTTTTTATGAGGAGGTGAGCAAAACCTTGGACAGAGGGGTGGAGGTGGATGTGGTATACTTAGTTGCAGTTTCGCATACACGACTAATGTATAAGATAAACGCTACAGGCTTGGAAAAATCAGTTTGTAAATGGATAGAAAACTGGCTAAAAGATCATATTCAGAGAGTAGTGGTTAATGATTCATACTCTGAATGGTCTAGGGTTGTTAGTGGTGTACCCCAAGGTTCGGTGTTGGGACCCTTACTTTTTAATATATTTATAAATGATATAGGGTCTGGGATTAAAAAATACCATTTCAGTCTTTGCAGATGACACCAAGCCGTGCAGTGGAATAACGTCCTTACAGGATGTCTCCAACTTACAAGCCGACCTCAATGCACTGTTTAATTGGGCAATTATGTGGAAAATGAGATTTAATGTTGATAAATGTAAGGTTATGTACTTGGGGGCTAAGAATATGCATGCATCATACATACTATGAGGGTACAACTGGGGGAATCGATGGTGGAGAAGAATCTGGGAGTTCTGATAGAGTACAAGCTTAATAATGGCATGCAATGCCAAGCTGCGCGGTTTCTAAAGTGAGCAAAATCCTCTCTTGTATCCAGAGAGAGAGATATCATTTTACCCCTGTACAAATCATTAGTAAGACCTCATCTGGAATATGCAGTTCAGTTTTGGGCACCAATTTACAAAAAAGGATAATCGGGGAACCGGAGAAAGTGCAGAGAAGGGCAACCAAACAGATAAGAGGCATGGAGGAGCTCAGCTATGAGGAAAGATTAATTGAATTGAATTTATTCTCTCTTGGGAAGAGGAGATTAAGGGGGTATATGATCAACATGTATAAATACATCAGTGGTTCATATAGTGAACTCTGTGTAGACTTATTTACTTTAAGGTAATCAGAGAGCACAAGGGGGCAGTCTTTACATCTGGAGGAAAAGAGATTTAATCTCCAAATATGGAAAAGGCTTCTTCACAGTAAGAGCAGTGAAAATGTGGAATAGAATCCCTCAAGTAGACTGTTTTAAAAAAGGCCTGGATTCTTCCCTAAATGTACACAATGTAACGGGATACTAATATTTATGTTAGTTGATCCAGATTGCCTCTTGAGGGATCAGGAAGGAATTTTTTCCTCTGCTGGAGCAAATTGGATCATGCTTTATTGGGTTTTTTTTTCCTTCCGCTGGATCAACTGTAGGTCTAGGATTGTGTATATAGAATTGTATAAAAATGTTTTTTTGCCTTTTATTGGTTGAACTAGATGGACTTGTGTCTTTTTTCAACCATACTAAATATGTAACTATGTAACAATGTAAACATTCAAAAAATAATAAATTATTGCAGTGTCAAATACTAGATATAAAATAAAAAATAATGAAGAATAGAATGGTGTTTAATTAATATTTACCCCCCCCCCCCAGGGGGGTTTTACAGCTGCCCCTAAAAAGTGAAATAATAATGAATAGGTAGGCACATAAAAGAACAAGAGTTCATCCAAGTGAACAACCCGTTAGTAAACTGTTCATCAAACAATATAATCAATCACCATATATTAATCCCATTTCTATAAAAAGTATTTGTGTTTCCACCACGTGCTAAATAAACAGGCCTTTTTTAAGGCTCAATAATGGTGACAAGAAGATCCGTGTATCCAAAGACAAACGAATGGCTCCCTCACAAGAACTTTATGACCCTATTCCGGAGGTCATATATTTCATTGTGTTTTTTAAGCCAAGACATTCTCTTAAGGTTCCTCCAAAAATGGTCTCCATCACCCACACTTCATAGTTGTATAGCCAGAAAGACGGATGTAAAATTGATAATAGATTCACCAATAGATGTATAAAGGGATTATGACAAGTGATCCTTGCTGGTTATGCCATACCACTCTTATCAGGTTTATGCAACTCACAGGGCCAAGGATGTCTGTCCTGATCATTTAATGGGATACCTTTTCCCATCTTCAGTTTATTGCTTTGTGGATGATACTCATCTGCATCGTAGAATTTCCACCCTAGCTTATTTGCCAACTGGGATCCTACTTCAGTTCACTATCATCGCCCTCATGCTCAGTCCGTTCTGCAGCTCGCAAGCTTGCTGGACTCTAGATCGTGTCTCGGGCTTGGATTGCGGTGGATGGCCATGTCTTGGTAAGTTTGCAGTTGTGCCATACTCTTTCCATTTTCAGATGATGGATTGAACAGTGCTCCATGAGATGTTCAAAGCTTAGGATATTTTTTTATAACCTAACCCTGCTTTAAACTTCTCCACAACTTTATCCATGACCTGTCTGGTGTGTTCCTTGGCCTTCATGATGCTGTTTGATCACTATTGTTCTCTAACAAACCAATGAGGGCTTCACAGAAGAGCTGTATTTATACTGAGATTAAATTACACACAGGTGGACTCTACTAATTAGGTGACTTCTGAGGGCAATTAGTTCTACTAGATTTTACTTAGGGAACAGCGTTCCTCGTGGCAATAACATCAGCCAGAAGAGTCTCAGAACTAGCAGCCTTAGGGTTTAAAGAACCCTTTCTTTCATTCTTTCTGGATAGGGTCATGCTTATATCAATGCTAGGATTCGTACCCACAGTTGCCTCCAGGTTTTACATAACGCAAAATATTACACTGCCGATACTCCTTTCGGAAAATTCCCAGGACCCAAGTCCATTAGATGTTGGGCACTCATTGAGAGACTATGTGGACGCTACTTCCGAGCTTAGGAAGTTAGATCATCTTTTCACCATCCCTAATGATGCACGGAAATGCTCGAGAGCTTCTAGTAGAGTAATCGCTATATGGTTGGTCAAGACCTGCTCTTTAGCTTACAGAACAAGAGGGTTGCCTGTGCCTGAGGGGGTCACAGCGCATTTGACTAGAGCGGTTTCAACCTCATGGGCAGCAGTGGGCCACGTTTCTCCAGAAACAATCTGCAAAGTGTCTTCATGGTCTTCTGTTCATACCTTCATGACTCATTATTGTATAGAACCTGTGGCTTTGACTATTGCAGTCTTTTTACAAGTTGATTGCTGTTACAGTGATGATCACTGTAAAAGCAATGTTCGAACTGTCATGAATGAGTTACATTCATAAAAGCTGTGGTTACTAGTGATGGGCTTTTGTGTTCGAGTCGAACAAACGTTCGACTTTAACATGGACCATTCGTGTGTTCAGTGTTTTTTTTTTTTTTTTCATTTTTCAAGTCGGCAGTAGCGGGCATCATGATTGATGTTGGAACTACTTCGGGGGACATTTTTAAAATTTTCATGTTTAACCCTTTGACGTCGAGTGCCTGCAAATATGCGGCCTCTCGATGTCTGGGCCTTGACGCCGAGTGGCCGCATATTTGCTTGCCTTTAGAAAATACATATGTGTTGAGAGCACGCACCCTGCACGCTCCCAGCACATATGCTGATGACTCACGGAAAGGTCCCGATCTCCCCTTGCAATCGGGACTTTTTCCGATCATGTGACCGTCGTGATGGCGAATCATGGCGGTCACATGACCCTAAAAACCCGCCCACTTCCCGCCTTCTGAAACTCTTAAAGGGCCGGGAGGCACCGGCGCGCGAAGTGGATAACATCTGAAGTCACTGAAACCTGAAACCTATACTGAAAAAAAAAAAAAGATAGCTTGAATATTTTCATTTTGCTTTGGGCAATATTTTTTCTTTGCTCTAGTTTTACTCAAAATACTGCTAAGTTTAAAATTAGAAACTCTTCTAACACAAGTTTTTCATTTGAAGCCTCTAAACATTTATAACCACACACAATGGGGTTGATTTTTTAAAGGCAAATAGAATGTTCATTTTGTAAGGGAAATTGCACTTTACAAGTGAATTTTCCCCTCAGCTTAGTGAATGTATTGAAAATGCACTCCAAAGAATACCCAATTATGTGTAAGGAAACTAAAAAATGAAAAAAAAAATTCCCTTGCAAAGTAAACAGTCCTTTTGCCTGTCAGTCCATTCACACACAGAGCCACTGCTCCATTTACACAGAGCATAGCTCAGCTCTACCCCTGCTCTCTCCTCATTTGCTCACGGGCTGTGATTGAAAGCAGTGGGAGCCAATGGCTCCCGTTGCTGTCTCAGGCAGTGAGGAGGGCAAGACCCAAAAGATCTGAGGCTCTCATGCACATTTGTAGATTGAGACAGGGCTCAGATAAGTATTGGGGGGCTGTTGCACACTGAAAGTTTTTTTACTTTCTTGCATAGAATGCATGAAGGTAAAAAACCTTGAGACTTTACAACCACTTTACTGTTACTGAATGAGATCTAAGCTGTTAAATTTGGTGAACAGATTTTTTTTTTTTGGGTAATCCAAACTTCTCTTGGTATTTTGTCAAGACAAAGTAAGGGTGGCTATAAAGGAAATCTGTCACCAAGCATAAAATTTGGTGAGTTCTACACAATCTCTTTCAAACAACAACAGCGCAGGGACTCATTGTTGCATGTGATATTTGAATGTGTTTCAAAGTATTTTTCCATAATCTAGCCTTAATGTATAAATACAAATATCCATAATTATATTAAATACAAAACCTAGGAAGTGAATGAGAGGTAGCCCATACACACTCCTACACAAAGAGTTTAGTATAAGCAATGCTGGCAGTGAAAGGGGCAAGAAAGTCAAGTGAAGGAATGTCATGTCATAGAGAAGCCTGAAAAAAATAAAGGCATCTGGGCAGGATGTACAGATATGTCTAGAACCTCACAAGTAAGCCTGCTCATCCTCTTACAGGAGCCCTGTGTGCATAGGGGTGCAAAGTAAAGTGTATTAAGGATGCATGTCGGGGTTCACTGACTATATAGGGTACATAATGGGTGTGCTGAGTGTACAGGGGTGCATCATGGGATGTGCTGAGTGCAACAGGTTGCCCTGCATTATTTATATCACTTTATGAGTTCTGGAGGTATAAATTATTCCAGCCATTCCCAACTGGAGCAAACATCCTGCATTGCCAGGTCAATTCCGGCAAGTACCAAGGCATGATAATAAGATGTACATAAGGTATATTAGTGCATGGTAAGGTGCACTAAATGTACAATGGAGTAGACTGAGTGTAGAGGGTACACATGGAGAAATGCTGAATGTGGAGTGCATAGTAGGGTGTGGTGAGTGTATAGTTCCTTTAATGAAAGGGCACACTTTTGCAAGTAAATATTTAAAACATAACATAATATAGGAAAATCCACATGAATCATGGTCTGACAACACTACTTGAGGATGCTATAAGAGGTTAAAGAGCACTGTTTACCTTAGAAAGTGCAACATATGGAAATTTCTCCATCTCCAGTATGTTTTCCTCTCCCAGCTGCCCTTCCAATTGCCCCTGGTATATACGAGCTGCAGTTATTGTGGTAACACCCATTCCTATAACAAAATGTCAAGCAACAAAGAGGTGAATGAAGAAAAGAGACTATAATCATATCACTATTATATAAAAACAATTATATTAGTTTTCTTTAGATGATATTAGTAGGAGCAGAAATAGCACCACTTATAAATATTTGTCTTATTGTACCATTCCCAATATGTATGCTCAATTGAATTGTTTAGCATTTGATGTTATAAATACATCAATTACCAATGTGGGGTATAAAGTAGGCCCTTTAGGTTGAGCACAACAATAGTAAAGATGAATATATACTATACTTGTTTTGGTATGTTGATAGGAAGGACCAAACTATCTAATGTCTTGCATACCTGCTTTCTGGGTAGTAACAACCAACCCTAAAATTTGGTCAGTACTGGGTGACTTGGATAAATAATAAGGGTAGCTATAAAGGAATACATTTATCACAAGACTGTAAAATTTTATAGAGATTAGTCCATCCTCATTCAAACATCAACAATGCCAGCACACACCATGATCTTCTCTGACTCAGTGATAAGACTTATGGGTAGTCTATGTTGTATGACCTGGTAACTATTTCCTTTAACGAGTATATTTTTCACTGCTCATGGTCCATATATGTATACTTTCTTTGCACCTACCATCTCCTAGAAATAGGATGAGATTCTTTGCTTTATTGGCATTGGGTTGCAGCTTAAGAGCATTTGCTAATGTTTCCTTGGCCTGATTCATTCCAGTACTTAGGTGTTTTTTTTCAGCGTCTGTAAAATACAAGTAACAAAATATCCCATTAGACCATAATATTAATTTAAAAAAATTTTTCAATCCTGACACAGTAATTGCTAGACCTCTGATAATTGCTGCTTAATATTACAGCACTGTTATTTTGAAAATAATTACTTTTATCTGTAACTATATACAATACAAGTATGCCAGTCTTTGTGTTTTATTTCTTAACCATAATTCACCTTTGTCCCCACTGGACTAATGTAACACAGAAACTCTTGAACTGCAATGTCAGTCCCTTGTTCTGGTTACAAAACACTTTGTCCAGTACCGTCAATGGCGAAAAAAGACAGGGCTTATTAGGATGACTATCCTGCTATCCCAAGCATTATATCTCGGATCTTGATCAATCCAATTGAAACGTATTTGGTTTATAAAACCCTTACCCTAAAAAACAGCACATGGAAGTTGTATAACAGAATTATCTCAGTTTACTGTATGCCAGGATTGCCACATAGGATATAATCCTAATAGACAGAACAGGCCAGAATGAGTGAAGATTGGTGAGGGACTGATATCTCTATAAGCCCCTGTAGTAGAACCATTGTAATTTGCATACATCCCAATGTGCATACTATGTTCTCATATTCTATACGGATGTCAAAACAAATATAACATATAAATAAAAGTCCATGGAATAAAGTGACAGTCCTTGCGGCTTCTTATAACTGTGACCCGACCCGGACAAGAAAAATTTGTGACTTCACCACGTGCCAACAGGAGTAAAAAGTAAAGATTGCTCACTCACCAGATCTTTTGACCTCAATTAAGGTGGTCAGATGCGCTTTTGGTCATATAGAAGACCATCCTCTCACAATGATATCTCCCCTTCAGCAATTCTCTGCTTGTGGCCAAATGCTAAGGGATATGGACTCTCAGCTTGCCTCCAATATAAGTGATGCTTAAGAAGGATAATCCTCCCACGGGAATTGTGCCGAATCATTCACATAAATCAAACAAGTGAAATACCTTCTAAGTGCAATGTTTTATTAAATGAGCAAAGAATTGTATAGATAAACGCTATTGCACTCACATGGTGAGGTGCCTAAAAACCGGCACCAGTGTTTCAGCCTGTATTGATCTTAGATGGCCGAAATGCGTTCCACGCCTCGTTTTCACTCAGCTTGGACGTTCCCGCACCCGGAAGTGACGTTGTGACGCATTCTGTGTTAGCATTTTTATGTCACATAGAATAGACATTTCTGTGACATTCTCAAATACATCTGGGGGGTACTGTTCAACAAATGTCCTTCTTGGATATGGTTACAAAACACCTGTTTTTTTATGTGCGCATAGGTAGTGTTAATTTGGCAGTGCTCTATTTTTTTCCCAGTACATACCTTTTGGAGAATTCATACAAACTAATGTATGTCCTAAAGGCTGTTTTTGTTTCAAGCGCAATATGGGGTTGTTTTACTGAAGAAGTAGAAACTTCTCGCTTAGCAAAGTGTATGCTCACTGAGCATAATAAATCTGGTGAAACTGTTCTCTCCAATCATGGACAAGTAAAAATCCATTTTTTTTTTTAATTTTATCTGCACAGATTTACCTTATTTGCAAAGATCAGTGAAGTTTTGCAAAGTAAGCATTAACTTTGCTCAGTTTACACTCCTTAAGGATGCCTTCACACTGGGCGGTTAACCCTATGCCTGAGATCCCAGCATTTTGGTGTGGGCAGAAGGCATAGGTGCACCAACCAGCCCTATTACCAGCAGCCTGTGTGGTCTATGAGAGACTGAAAGCTGCTGTGGCTCCGCAAAGCTGGACCAAGTGGTACTAACATTTAGGGTCATGCAACCAGGGAAAAATGCCCAGAATCCAGACTTCTTGCGTTCTGGGCATTCGTCCTTGGGCACATACAGCCCTAAATGTTAGTACCGCTCTGTTCAGTATCCAGTCCCGTTCAGCTGCAGCAGCTTTCAGGCTCTTTTCACTTTTACAGGCAGCAGATAGTGCTGTTACCTTCTGTACTTATCTTAGTATGCAACAAAGGGCTAAGGCATGTTATTACCAGTGATCTTTACACTTTGGGGGCAAACCAATTAGAATTTGCTGTTGTCCGGTTTTGTTTTCTTTTTGCTGCACAGAAATTTACAGTGCCAGGCAATTTGCCACAAATATAAAAAGGAGTAAAGGCCTGTACTGGATCATCTACCCAGTACATAGGTCGGGCCTAGGAATATGTACCAAACTCATCTTTTATTGGTTTAAACAGATATATAACAGTATTAGTAATGCACTGAAGAGAGAGGCACAAAAGAACAACTATTATAGAATGCCAGTTCCAATTACCATAGGAGTATTTCCGCTAGAGGGGTGGTGATATAGCACTATGTAGCTGGTGACACAGCTCCCTGCTCTATGATACTGTCCACATTTCCTGTCTCAGGTGTGTAAATATACACAGCAAGAAGGCTCATTTCTGTTCTATCTCATCTGGAACCATTCCTTTCTCTATCAGTCCTGACCCTAGTCAGCAGGGCTCTGTCCCTATCCTCACTCACTCTCTAGGAGCACTCGAATGACAAGGGTCACCCTATTTATCAGATCCCCTATCAAGAAGGCAACCTGAGATCTTGTGAGATTTCTTTGTCCAATTGGACAACTGACATCCTCAAGAAAACTGCTGGAGTCCACAAGGGGACAAGGTATATATGATGGACAATTTTTTACAGGCCCTTGAATAGGGAAAGCCAGTATCCCCAACTGCTCATCTATGAAGACAGAAGAAAAAAAAAAATTGTTATTTACATGGCCTTGGTGAAGAAAGCACATTTATATGTCCTTTTCCATACAACCAGATGATTAAACTGGTTTCTTCTCCAACGCCATGTTGAAGAATCTTATCTTTTATTTGTAGTGGCTTTCAAGTGTAGTTATTCTGTATTGATAGTGCATGTTCTAATGTTCACATTTGAAGTAATGTGAAATAGATGTAAGTCTGCTGTTCCATTTTTTTTATATAAGACAAAAGTACAGAGGGGAAAGAAATGCTAAAATCAGTAGAAAATGCAAAGTGCATCTTAGCTGGGCATTAATAGTATGCACTTTCAAGTTACATTTTGATTTTTATGCCTACCATAAGCAGGGTAATTTTTTTTTCAAAGGGGGGGGTCAGCCTTGTGCACTCAGAGGAGTACCACAGTGCACGGTGGAATAATTATGCTAACAATGGGCAGGGCTAAAAACTTGAGCTGCCTGACTGTATACAAAGTAAATATGGCACAGTCCTTGTACCCACAAATTATGCTTTCATTACTATGCCAAAGATGAGTTTAATGGACATGTATGAGAAAATGCACACAGTCCACTGGAGCAACTGCACCTGCTTAGTGCAAAGTCTATTAGCCTTAGTATATCATCTTCAATGTCATATACAGCCCCATGCATAATATAGTGCAGTGGTCAGTTAAAGTAATAAATTGGAACCAACCCATACTGTAATGACTGGTAAGGCAGTCATATTATGCACTGGATATAAAGTAGTGGTTATAAACTTTAGTGAAACCAGGGCCTGATATTTTGCTTCCAAAACATTGCATGCCATATCAGTAAGAACCCATTTACTTCACCATAGTAAGTTAATACACATTATGTTGCACTTTAAGTTTAAGCAGCCAATTCAAAATACAATAAAAGTATGAGAACACATATTTTGCATTCCAAAACTTTTATTTATATTCATACAATAAAATATGGGAACTCTTTTCACCTATCTTGTGTGTGCAATGTACCTCTGTTGTTCTATCTTACAGTCATGTAATCATTACATGACTGCTTAGTAAATTCATAGATAAACATAGCAAGCATGACGCAGGTGACACAACTGTACAGCCAATGCAGTGCAAGGTGTGTGTCATTCATTATAGATCTCTTCCACTCACCCATGATGCCCCTGACTCCCCTTGCTACATTCCTGTAGTCAGTGATCACTCCATCACTGCAGATGGAGAGAAGAAACTGGTGCCTTCAGACAGTCCAAAACCCAGCTTCTGAGATACCATGAGCTCACACTTCCAGAACCAGGGTTCACTCCTGCACCCTTTTTCCAGTACTGCTTACCTCTGTGCCCCCTGTCACTCTGTTCCAACCCTGCTCACTTTTGCACCCTTTGCTACCCTTTTTCAACACCACTCACCATTGCATCCCCTACCACCCTCTTCCAGCATTCCTCACCTCTGCATCTCCTGCCACCTTCTTGCTACACTGCTCATTTCTGCATCCCTTGCAATCCTCTAAAAACACTGCTCAGGTCTGCACCACCTTCTGTCACGTACCTGATGGGAGACTGAAATGACGAGGTCGGCCTTACTTGTGTCACTATCCCTGACCCCACTGGAGTTGGAACAGAGGGAGTCTAGGACCCAGGGGAACAAGAGCGCTAGTAGTTGTTGTTTGCAGCTCTTGCAGATGATGACTCTGGAAGACTGATGATCTCCTGTTTCAGGCAAAGTAGTAAGAAGCAGAGTGGGTCTTGTAGATTGCCAGGCGTACACCAGAGCAAGGCAGGTAGTGAGGATAAGAGACAGGAGCAGTGTCATGGGAATAGCCAGGGTCATCAACAGTCGGGAAGCATGGTACAGAATCAGAAGGAAAGCCAAGGTCAGGAGCAGAACCATAGTCAGGAACCAGTATAAATAAGGAGAGCAATCAGAGTCAGGTGAGGAACAAGCCGGGTTAGCAACAAAGGAATCACACAGGAACCAGCAGGACACGGGGGAGCTGAAGACCAGTCAGCACTCAACATGGGCAGAGACACTCTTTAAATAGGCCATCTGGCGCCAATCTTCGCCGTACATGTACACATGCTGTGCACGATCGCGCATTTCTGCGCGCATGCGCACAACCTGTAATTCTTCTCTGGGAATTCCTATGCGCATGCGCATTTCCAATTACGATTCGTCTTGCTGGAAATCCCTTACACCTTCCATCCTCTTACAATGTTG